TAGTTTTTAGAGTGACTGTACACATATAAGAGGTAAACTTCAAAACTGCAGTCAACATTGATAAACAATGGAGAATGTTACACAAGAAAAAAATTTCATACTGAAGTAAAATTAAGCCTAAATTCAGTCAAGTTGTATGTTTCCTGCCTCATCCTGGTCGGCCCATGGTACAATAAAAACACTGTACAGGTACTCCTCGACTTAAGACAACCTGGACATACGACCGCCGTAGTCATATAAAATATTTCTAAAATTACGTATTTTCTAGTACCGAAACGTTTCCATCCCGTACGACAGCGTGGACTGGACTGCCTTGTGGTGTACAGCATCCACGCTGTAGCCCGCTCAGTTGGTGCTTGGCCGTTGTTGTTGTTAGTGATCACGCTGTGTACTGACAAAATTTTCATTTCTAATTCCCTTTAAAATGGCTGGCAAGCGTAAAAGTGAGCGTTCTCGTGGTGCTGATAAGGAAAGGAAACAGTCAATTACTCTTGAGATGAAAAAGAAAATAATAATGCAATATAAAAATGTAAAAACGGTAGCAACAATTTCACGCGACCTTGGCTTCTCTCACTCGACGATATCAACAAATTTGAAGGACAAGGCAGAGGCATTTGCTTTTATTAATAAGGGGATGCAAATGTTTGAAGAAATGGATCAAAATGTTGAGCGTTTTGTAAAAGTGAGACAGATCCAAGATGCACTTGCTTGCTACAGGGATATTTACAATGAAAAGAAAAGGCAAACTGTGCAGTCCAAATTGGACATATATATTAAGAAGTCCCCCACTGCTGCCCCTTCACTCCCTAAAGATGATCCAATACCTTCAACAAGCAAGTATGTTAGCCTGTCTGAAGAAAGCAAAATTGGTGACCCACCCAGCCCTGTCTCCTCCTCTGCTTCATCCAATTAATGTAGTCTCCATGTTTAATTAAAAAATTTTTGAGGCATTCAGCTGACTACATTAAAGGTAAGTGCACAGTAACACTGTATCCATTTTTCATTATTGATTACTTTTACTGTACTGTATTTAATTTTAGATTTTCTATGTATTATTTTTTGCATTTTCCATTTTCGACTTATGACCGTTTCGACTTACAACCTGGATTTGGGTCCCCTAACCCCGTCGTAAGTCGGGGAGCAGCTGTATAAGGACTTAGGCTATGATATAGTGGGATTTCATGTATTGTTCTGTAAGTGAAGTATGCACATAGGGTATGTGATTCGACTTAAGTACATTTTTTACTTAGAATAATCTGTCGAAACAGAACTCTTACGTAACCCGGGGACTGTGTGTATGTATATGTGTATGTATATGTATATGTATATGTATATATATATGTATATATATATGTATATATATATGTATATATATATATATATATATATATATATATATATATATATATATATATATATATATATATATATATATATATATATATATATATATATATATATATATATATATATATATATATATATAATGCTGGCTGGTTGGGAACAGGATCAATTATTGTACACACATTTTGCCTATGTATTATTTTTAAATAACTAGTGCTATTGTAAAAGGTATGTTTTCTTATGGTAATCCCTTCCCCATCAAGGACCTGATCAGGTTAACTTGTCAATTTACACATGCTAGCATCCAATCATCTTTTCACATAAATCACTTACAGTCAAGCTCTCTGCTCATCTACACATACTACTGCTGCTTCCTGGATATTGATCCCCCTCACTTGTAGTGCATCCTTTACTCCAGTCTTCCATTATAAATCAATATACTGTACAGTGGTCCCTCAGTTAACGATCTCAATTCGTTCCAGAGGGTCGTCTGTTAACTGAAACCATTGTTTCAATGGGATTTTGGGTAATTGGTTCCAGTTCACCGAAAATTACATACAAAGTAAAAAAATTTGCAGTAAAGTACACTTACTTTGAAGTGTGTATGTAGAAGGCTCCTGGTTGATGATGCTGATGTGAATTTGAGGTGGAGAAGGGAGAAGAGAAGGAAGTGGGGATGGAAGAGAAATCACCTCATGCTTGATGCCGTCATTTCACCAATAACATTTTAAGTTCACTAGGTGTAATTCAAGATTATTTTCTTCAAATCAACACTGCACTGTACTGTAAAAACGTAAAAATAGTTTATGTTCAAGAGAGTCACAAGCAAGATGTTACCTCCAGTGAACAGAGACACAAACAGACGCCTTGGTGGGTGAGTGAAGTGGTTGATGGGCGCACCAAAAACTAGTTCCCTGTACTGCAATTATGTTAAATAAGTGTTAAAATGACTAATAATTTTAATATAAAACTTTGAAAAATATTTAATAGCACAACCTTCTTGATATTTACTCAAATGGGAACGAATTTAAGCCCTAGAACCGATTACTGTATTGGCGGACCAATCTACCAGCTGATGAGCAAGCGAAAAATCCGAATTTTTGTTCATTCACGAATTGAATATTCTTATGGAAGGCAATTCGTTAACCGAAATTTCGTTAACCGAGGCGTTCGTTAACCGAGGGACCACTGTATTCATCTCCAAATAAAATCATATCTAATATTATTACATCCCAAACCAAGAGATTTCTTTAATAACATATCAAATGCATTTTAATTACATAGTTAGTAAACAATTAATATCCTTGAAATTAGGTCATTAGACTTGTGTCCTTCTGAGATTATTACTGAGCACCACAGAAAATCCCACTGTCAAATAGTACCAATGCTCCACCTTACAAGAACCTTAAAATGAAGCTACAGATATAGGAAGAGTAGGAGTATACAATTACAGTATATAATTGAACAAGGATATGATATTTGGTCTGCATGAACATACTGGTCACTTCTGCCAACATATATGGTTTACTTCTGCCACTGGACACAAACTACAAGTCCAGTGAAATCTTAAAAGATGACTTGTTTCTGTATCACATTCCAATAAAATTATTACACATTTGAACAAGCAAATCAATACCTAAAACTTGTGTGTATATATATATATATATATATATATATATATATATATATATATATATATATATATATATATATATATATATATATATATATATATTAATATTAAATAAACAGTACAAAAAGACCTTCTCTTCATACAAAATAAGAAAAATATTCACATACAAGTCATTTACAGTTCTTGATGAATCTCACAAGACATGGTGAAGCTATAATAACATAGCTATCATGAACATGAGCAGTTTATGTTTAAAAGATGGACAAATTTTCCCCTTAAGGACGATTTATTCATCCTCCTATCAGTTATATTTAAATTCTAAAGATAAATATTTGAGAAGAATAATGATAGACACCATATCAGCATTATAGTGCAAGACTGAAACAACCCAAATACAGTAGAGTCTCGTCCAACGCAGGTTTACCCAATGCAGATTTCGTTCAGCATAATTAAATACAGTAGACCCTCGTTAATTCGGACCCCTTTAATCCGGATTTCGGATAATTCGGACAAAATCTGAACTAACTTTTTTTCTTTTTTATTTGTAGGAATATTACCTACGCGGACCTTAAGCTAAAATGCTGGTCCGCCCACTGCTGGGATAAAACACCAGCGTCTTTTTGGTTAAATGTAACATCTCCACCACTAGTGTGGGGGGGGGGGGGATGCAACTTTTAGCTTCAGACATGAAAAATATTTACCATTTACTGCCAGTAAACGAAGGAAACGTAAAATATGTACCAATTAGTAATGAAAAGTTGTGCAGTTCCTTCAGCAAATGAAGCTCACCAACTTACAATAGGCTAAATTACCTTACAACGTGCTTTCAGTAGTCTATGTTGAAGTTCTTAGCACAGGCTAACTTATCATATCATATACGGTATCACAGTTCTCATTGATCTACAAAAAATTCCGGTAATAAAAACCTTTTTGATATTTCACACTTAATATAATACCAGGTAATCTACTTCAACCTCCTATTGTTTACAACGACACATGACGCACCACCAGCTGTTGAGTATCAGCTAGACGGTACACGTGTTTTTCTAATCGTTTTTAGTTAAAAAACTGTTACATCACACGTATATTTTACCTTAACTGTGCCTGAATGAATATATTCTCGGAAATAAATAGTAGTTTTACTGAAACGTGATGTATTTTAATGTAAAATAGGATAAAATACATGACGAAAACAAAAGATTTTACCTAACCTTCCGATGTTCAAGAGAAGTTACTTGTTTTTTTTAATAGTTTTGGTTAAAATACTGTTATATTACAATGGTATTCTATTCATACTGTGCTTGATATAATGAATTCACGGAAATGTAATATTTTTGCTGAAATGACGTACGTATTACAGTGGAAAGTGGGATAAAATCGTGACGAAAACAATGACTTTCGCTTTCTTTCGTTCAAAAGATGTTACCGTAATCGCTTTTCGATTGGTTTTCAGTTAAAAAACTGTTGTATTACAATAATATTCTATCCTTATTGACTTGAATAAATACTATGATACCATATTTCTGAATATTTTCATTAAAATCCATCCAAATCATTTTCCTTGTCATCGTCTGCAGCACCAAACAGCTTCTCTCAGTCCTCTCCTTGAACAGGGCTAGAGGGTACGTGTTTTTCTAATCGTTATCAGTTAAAAAACTGTTACATCACATGAATATTTTACCTAAACTGCGCCTGAATGAATATATTCTCGGAAATAAATAGTAGTTTTGCTGAAACATGATGTATTTCAATGTAAAATAGGATAAAATACATGACGAAAACAAAAGACTTTACCTAAGCTTCCGATGTTCTTGAGATGTTATTCGTTTTTTTACTAGTTTTCGGTTAAAATATTGTTATATTACAATGATATTCTATTCATACTGTGCTTGATATAATACATTCACGGAAATGTAATATTTTTGCTGAAATGACGTACGTATTACAGCGGAAAGTGGGATAAAATCGTGACGAAAACAATGACTTTGAAATATAATGCAATATTAACCCTTAAATCGGTTAATTCGGACAATCGGCTAAAACGGACACCCTTCCCCCCCCTATTAGTCCGAATTAACGAGGGTCGACTGTAAATGTGATTACAGTAGTTATTTCTCAAAACACTAATCAATCTGAATTATATCCAGGTTAGCTTGACTGATCTGTAGCTCCTGCCATACAGTTGCCACTACTCACCTCTGAGGCAGTGGTCCCTTGCCTTGCTAGCAACTCATTTTGTGGACAATGCTGAGGAGCATAAGAAATCACTTGACTTTTGGTAATTTTTCTAAATTTTTTTAACTCTGCATTTTCTGTGTACCTTTAACACTCTTGTGAACCGATGATGATCCTATTGTCAATGCAAAAAGTTATGCTTGCTAACCAATGACAATATAATTGTCATGGCCTTCATAATAATTAGTGATGTAATATGTCCTCTCTCTGTCTGAATTGATAATAATAATAATAATAATAATAATAATAATAATAATAATAATAATAATAATAATAATAATAATAATATTATTGAATGATCATTTACAAACAAGTTCATGTATAAAAAGAATAATTTTTTAATGAAAATAACTGCTCACAAGTGGGATGCTTGCAAAATAGCTTGCAGCTAAGCAACAGCTTGCCACATTGGATACACCTTGGAGGTAATGGACAAATTTGCGAAATTGTTAACTACAGGATGCCACATAACTGTTAACAGTCTGCTGGTGGTGATGCAGCAACGTGATTTTGGACAAGCCACATGAGGGTCACACTTCAGCCTCCCTTTGTCAACATTACAGGATAGATGAGTCAGCCATGTGCCCTACTGTGTAAAGCTTCCCTATATTGAAAAAAATAAATAAAAATATTAAAAGTGTGGATCAATGACCAAATAAACAATATATAGACTCTGCTGTTGATGGAGTAACCACATGGAAAAAAGCACTTAACTTATATGAACAAATTATCAGTAATGAAGGTTCTTTCTTCATTGGTGGGTGCAACCTGCTGTACATTATATCAGTTTATTTCAGCAGCTACATACTGTACATGTACACATTAGTAAGTGCTTTTTTTTTAATTCATATTCGTGCATATGTATAAATATGCAGTACATGTACAATACAGTACATATTCATTCTTGAGGTTAGGTAAGAATATTTTGTTCAACATTCCTTATCCCCATTTTCCCCACAAGGTATTAGGTTTCCCCAAAGCGAATTTGCTTAACAAAGTATTATTAAAGAATGTGATACCCACGCTGGACAAGACTATGCCGTAAGTTGGTGCAAAAGTAAGACTGTCTCAGCCATAAAAATAAATAAAATTTTTATTGAGCTACACTTTACAGTATATCGTTGTCTTTTTCATGTTATTACTGTTGAAACTACTTCCATGAGCAGCATAAACTACATCATCTTAAGAAATCAAGGGTAATGCCTTTCATATGAATATATACAGTACTGTAAATAAAATGTGCTAGATTGAGCTATTGTAAGCTAAAGATGTCAGAAATTTAAATCTAAAAAGAATGACTTTTGTATACTGTACATATATACTGTATACTTGGTATTCAATGTATATCCGATTATTTAGGAATGTTTTACAGTAATATGTGGCCTCAGTTTTGCAAACTTTCATCTGAAAATTATGGAATGACTATTTTCAACAATGAATTAAGATTAAATTACAAGAGCATTTCAACAATCCTCAGCACTATGTGTTAGACATGAACAAAGGGTTACAACTACAGTATAGCTGTTGTTTTTTTAGAAATGAGATGCCATTGTTCTTCACTATTTCTGCATTAAAAATATATTCCAACTAACAACAAATCTATGTAAAGAACTAAATTATTGCATAAAATTGACCAAAACATAATGTCTGATGTTTGTCAATTAACAAATTATATTAACTATGTGTACACCATTAATAGGGGAAAAACTATTTTACATGGAAATATTTCATGGCCCATGATATACAAATATGCTTTAGTTTAAGCAAAATAATTTCTTAGAATTAATACTTTACAAAACCTTTGGTGATGAGGTTAATCTTCACCGGTGGTATCAGCTTTATTGGTTCACGAGGTGAGAGTCTTTTAATATTACACAAAGATTGGTTCTCGGAGATCCAATCATCATACAAGCTTACCTGCAAAATGAAAAGCAGTTTATCATCATCAGGATTTCTGCCTTTCTTCTCATGTCAAAAAGGTAAGGTTAGGTTTGGATAGGTCAGCCAATTAACCCTCTACACACTTTTATTCGCTCAAAACTTAGCTATTACAAAAGACTGCAAAAAATTCAGTACTGTATTGTGGTTTGTTTTTTACAAAACTGAAATTTTTACTACCTGTACTTGGTTCAATTAAAATATTGAAGTTATTACGAGGATGATTTTATCCAAACTTTAAGTATAATACAGTACAGTGGAGCCTCAATCTTTATTGCTGTATCTTCCAAAAATCAACACTTAATATTAAAAAGGGCCCTAAATATGGCAAATCAGGAAATTAGATCCGGAAAACTACGATTTGAGAAAAGGTTGACCCAGAATACCGGGTATAGAAAAGGATCCCAAGTCCTTGTACATATACATAAACTAGGAACAAAATGAAGATGAAAGATACTACTGGACCTCTAAAGCATGAAATATACTGTTTGGCCTTTAAAGCATGAAAAAAAATGTCTCTGGAGGACAATAGCTGACAGCAAGGGGTCACAGCTCAAGGCTGAAGCCACAAGAGTGAGAGGTGTAAACTCTTGGAACAATCTGCCAGAAAGTGTTGTGATGGCACCGAGTGTAAGCTCTTTCAAGACCAGACTTGACCAACACTGGTGCAGGTACAGATAAATTCTGGAGCGGTATTTGCCAACAGTACATAACAGAGATGTGAACGACCACACGAGCAGCTAAAGAGCCGATCAGTGGAAAAGAGGGTAAAGGCAAAAGGTAAAAGATAGCTTAACTGAATACTCTGCATCACTTTTCACATAGGAGACACTGCAAAACATTCCAGTACCTAGAAGGATGAATTAAGGGAGACAGCAATCACAGATTATTTTTAACCATTTCATCATTTATGTATTCATAGCTACAGAAGCATTTCGGAGCATAGACCAAGGTGATGAAGGCGGTAGAGAATGAGATTTGCACTCCACTAAATCAAGGAAAAGTGCCTAGGGACTGAAAATCATTCAATGTCACACAGATATTCAAGAATTATTGTTGCAGAGAACAATCGTCCAAACAGCCTAACATCACATACTGGTACAGTATATATAAACTGTTTGAAAATTTTTTGTGGGAGATCATCACCCAACACCTATCTGAGCAGTCTCATCAATGCACCACAACATGGTTTCAACCCCACCCCCCCCCAAAATTGACAAATTTACTCACATTCCTTGAAAGAGCAACATACTGTACCAGGTGGACCAAGGCTTATTACTGGATAAGTTGCACAAGGATTTTTCTAATGTGTTCAACAATGTTCCACATGCTTGGCTAGCTTCTCAGATCAAGGCACGTGACATCACACGTAAAATATTGAAAAGGATTAAACACTGGCTCAGAGAGAGGCAACAAAGAGTGGCCATAAGGAGAATACATTTGAAATGGAAAATTTTTCTTATTGGAGTACCATATGGATCAATCCTCGAACCCATCCTGTGTCCTGAGTTGAGGTAGGATGGGGATTAGGGATAATATTCTCAATATGCATATTTCAAGGTCACACACAAAATATAAAATTCTTACTGTACTCAACAGACAAAATACAGTAATGAAAAGGATAATCCTTGGTAAAAATTTGATATGTACTGTATAATTTCTTGTGAAGTTAAACGCCGGGTAATCATAATTACCCTTTAATATCTGTTTTGTTATATACAGTATTGTACTATTAAATATAAATAATATGCTGTATGTACTGAATACTGTATCAACTTAACAATTTATATTACCATGATACACCATTATGTTTGAACACATACACACACACACACAAATGCATGTATGCAAGCTAAAATATCTGAGAAGGGCCACTGAGTACAGAAATCTGTAGAGCTGTGTTCAGATCAATGTACCTGTATGTCAAGAAGACTTTGCATTAGATATCCTAATAAATACTGCAGCTGACAAAAGGATAATATTCAATACAGGCCAGTACACTGGATACCAAAAGTAAAGACAAATTAATTACAGAAAATAAACCAAAGTTTACCTCCTTCCTTACTGTGAGGTTGACAGTGTTGAACTTGTCTGCTGGAGAAGACCTGCTCACTTATGTCATTAGTGATTAAATGCCCATGTAATTGGCTTTCACAAGCTTGTTGACACTGACTTGCTGATGATTCAGGCAGGGTTGATATACCTTAAGAATTAGAAGGGGAAAATTACAGTGACCACAAAGAAAGTGGTTCGATGTTCCACTACACCAATAGTGGGCAAACTATAGAACGTGAAGCTATTGCCTCGTCCTGGTTAATGAATACCTATGATTAATTTATAGTTAAATTGATTCATTGATTACATGAAATTTAAGGTTAGTAGTACTGAACCTGTATGTATGGTACATAAGTGTTAACCCACATTGTGAAAATAACCATAAATAAATACAGTAGTCCTTCACCAACGCTCGCATTAGGTTCCCAAAAACCCCATGGTTGGCAAATCCAAGGTAGGCAAGCCTAACTATGTTGCCTGTTCCTTCACTAAACAATAGCTATATTGCACATTTAATTAAATAGTCAAATACTGAGCATATAAAATAGTTTAACATAAATTAAATAGTAATATAAATTTTACAGTACATCTCCATTGAGATGACATATTGCTATAAAATAAGAAAAATGAAGAGCACGAATGTGTGTGAAGTGAACGTGTGTGCGTGGATTTGGCCGGTCGCCAAGTAAGAGTGTCCCTGTAGCTACATCCCCCTAGCTTGCACGCGCACGCACGCACGCACGCACGCACGCACGCACGCACACACACACACACACACACACACACACACACACACACACACACACACACACACATTGGTAGCAAGAGCAAGAGGTAACATAGTGGATCGTGTTTTGAACGGTTATAATGATGCCAGGCATAAGATAAAGAAATATGCATATGAATTAGTGAACTATGAAAAGCCATTTCAGAAAGTAAAATTGACACACATACCATTAGGTTTCAAACCTATTTTAGTGCAGCAACAATGTCTTGAAAGTACAATGGTGCTCAAAAGAAATTATCTGATATGCTTGAGAGACCAATCACTTACATTCCCTGTCTACCTCATGGCTCTAATTTAGTGATTGAGCATGGCTGCAATGCACATGAACTAATTACACATATGTATGATGTACTGGAATCTTGCTATGTATTTAGCAGTAGAACCAGTCATCGTGCAGCTTTTAAGGAAAAGTTGGCACAAATTGAAGGTGCATTGCAATTAAAAAATCTATCAAAGACAAGATGGAGTGCCAGGTCAGAGTCAGTGGATGCCTTTTGGAAATCTTATGAAGAGACAAGTGAAGTTTTGGAGGAAATCAGAAATGCCAAGATGAAATATGATTCAGAAGCAAGGACAAAAGCTAACAGTCTCCACCACACTACAAAGGCTGAAAATCAAACTGGAAGGGTACGGAATTCGGGGAAATGTCCTAGCGTGGATAGAAGACTTTCTACATGACCGCAGGCAGTGTGTGGTGATTAATGGTACGAAATCATCATCTGTACCTGTCACAAGTGGGGTACCACAGGGCAGTGTATTGGGCCCGCTGTTGTTTGTTTGTTTCATAAATGACATGCCTGACGTTGTACACCCCTCCATACAAATGTTTGCCGATGACGCCAGGTTATTTCGGGAAATTAAGAACCAAGCGGACTATGAAGAGCTGCAGAAGGACTTCTGTGGGCTCCAGGAATGGTCGAACAAATGGCTGCTGAGATTCAATGTCACTAAGTGTAAGAGGATGCACCTGGGGCGTACCAATGGTAAGGAGGCGTATCATATGTCCCAACGGGATGAAGAAACTGCGTTAGTTGAGACTGTGTGTGAGAAGGACCTAGGTGTGTATGTTGACAATGAGCTGAAGTTCTCGGGCCATTGTGAGAAGAAGGTAAATCAGGCAAATAAATTATTGGGTCTTATAAGGTCGTTCAGATATCTAGATGGCCCGTCCCTCGTAACGATCTTCAGGAGTGAAGTGCTTCCCCATCTGGAGTACTGTCACCCCATCTGGTCCCCGAGATATGCTAGGGACTGTCAGTTGGTTGAAAATGTTCAAAGGAGGGCCACCAGACTGGTGCCTGCACTTCGGCACCTCAGCTACCCTGAGAGATTGGAGCGCCTGAACTTGCCTAGCTTATACTACAGATGGGCAAGGGGGGACCTAGTTGAGGTGTATAAGCATCTCAGGGGGCACTACTCAGTTGAGTGTCCTTACTTGGAGCTGGCAGACGCTCGCCCCACAAGGGGTCACAGCTCAAGATTGAAGAAGCCGCAAATCCAGAAAACCGTGAGGGCAAACTTTTTCGGAGTTAGGGTTGTAAACTCTTGGAACAATCTACCAGAGAGTGTTGTGACGACACCGAGTGTGAGCTCTTTCAAGACAAGACTTGACCAACACTGGAGCGGGTTCAGGTACATTCAGGAGCCGGTGCATGCCCAGTATTTGCCAACAGTGCATGACAGAGACGTGACCAATCGCCCGGGCGGCTAGCGAGCCGATCTTTTGGTGAAGAAGATAAATGAAAAGGAAAAGTAATCAGAGACGTGACCGATCGCCCAAGCGGCTAACAAGCCGATCAATGGCGAAGAGGATAAAAGTAAAGTAAAAGTATTAAGACTTTTGATTTTATTGTTGTTTTGATGTTCATGAAAACTGTTATGTACAAAACTAAGCACATGGGAGAGGTGTTGCAAATTGAGGATTAAGATGTTTCTGAAGCTCTTATCTTTATGAAAAGTACATTGAAAATACTTCAGTCAATACGTAGTGATGATGAGGCTCAGAAACATTTGCTGGAGGCTGCACTCAACTTTGCAAAAAATATTTATGTTCATGGAGAAGAGGAGTTCAAGAGAGTCCAACGTCAAAGGAAACGGAAAAAAAATATGATAATCCAAACTCTAATGCTCAGTATAATTTGTATTCCTATTATTGTATGGAAATTAATGCATTTTTAGATATGATAATTTCTGTGTTGACTTTAAAATGTGAAAATCAGAAATCTTCATTCAAATATTTTGCAGATGTTCTTGATCCTAATGTTGCAGACCATGACTCAGAAAGCTTTATTGAAGCCATGAAAAAATCTATCGGAAACCTATCCATCTGAAATACCCGACACTAAATCTTTCCGACTTGAATTACAAGTGTTCAACATTAATTTTTTTTAATACCCGGTATGTGGAACAGCATCCTGATGTAGAAAAAACATTCGCTCAGCTGCAGAATCTGCACTGAATGCTCATAGAAAGTATCATTTATTTCCTCATGTGGCAAAAGTTTTCAGGCTATTCTTGACAGCAGTCAAGAATGTAAAAGTGAAAGGTCTTTTAGCAGGCTTAAGCTTTTGAAAACATCCCTGTGAAACAGAACCTCAGAAAAACGGTTGCATAATCTTATTCTCATAGCTTGTGAAAATGACATAACTGCTTCTATAACTATTTTTTTCAGAACATGTATGCTTTATAATGGAATATAGTTCATATTGCTAGAGCATGAAATAAAGAAAGTATGAAGTAATGTATTAACATTTCCATTAAGCATAAACACAAATTTTGTGTTCTACTCGCACTTACATATAGATATAAATATTTTATCGTGATTAGTCATATAAAACTGTTTGTACATAATTTATTTACAATGCTAATGCAACAAACCCCAACATTTTATCTCAAATAGCAAGCTTGCTATGACTCATTATGTACAATTATCTCTTGTGTACAGTAGTGCAGTCACGTGCTGTGATGTTAGTGACCAGCCAGACCCTCAGCGTCTCACCGGAGAGCACTTCCCTAAACCCAAGAGTGTTAACATACCCTGCTCGGTTAAATTTGATCATAATAACAAGTCCTTTATTAATTTACTCACCTGAGGCTGGAAGTGCTGTATTTAACTGGAAGTTGGCACTACATTGTACAGACAAACCACTCTCGGGGGACCCTGATGTCACAGCATATTTATATCCCACTTCTTTGCCTCCTGTAACAAATTTAATATATATATATATATATATATATATATATATATATATATATATATATATATATATATATATATATATATATATATATATATATATATATATATATATATTTCATTAGCCCAATAAAGCACGCGGACTTCTACATACAATCAACACCTCAACCCGCCAGGATTCGAACCCACGAGCCCACGACTGTGACCGGGGAACGCTAACCGCTGGACCACCAGGATACAAAAGCAGTACTAGACTTTGTTATATTTCACACAAAGCCTGTTCAACGAGCTTAAGGCGCCGGGAACCTCTAATGGGGATTACCCGCTGGTGTAAACTGTTATTAGTTTGCACTGCGAAACATTCTTTTTACTTATTACTTTCATACCATATTTATGGGTAACCGCTAAATTTGAAAAAAAAAGGCAATTTTTTTCTAAAAACAGTTTTTGTGATATGCCTCGGAATGCGAAGCTCAGCAATGTTACCTAGGTATGTTAATTCCTAGCTAACTCACCAGGCCAACATAAAGCCAATTAAAACATCTAATAATTACTTAATAAGTAATATTAGGAGGACACGTCACTACCTGGCATTTAATTGCAATTCTCAAAACCCTCTCCTTCACCCCCCACCCCACTTCCCTCGACTGAATTCCCCTTTTGAAGAATGGTATCCCCATCCTATTTTGGACGCATCCGTACAAACGACCAAACCTGTTTGAGGCGGAGCCCAGGGAGAGGGACCGATTAGATTGTCCAACTTTGTCCACGGTGTGGATTTGAGGCTGTGTGGGACCCTTAATAGGATTTTTAGTCCCACACAGCCACAAATCCACACCATTCCTAAATATTCTATCTATTTCACCATTCCGTACACAGGCCCACTCAGTTTCACCCTTAGAAACAAACTTAAGAAGCTTCTCAGTGAATTCTATCCACAAATTTCTCTTATACTAATCTTCAATTAGAAAATTCTTTAAAATTAAAGACACTATACCTATACACTTGCAATCCTCATTTGTTTATCAATTTACATGTGCTAGCTGTAGGGCAGCATACATAGGTAAAACAAAAATACATTTCATAACACACACACTGACTTTAAATCAATTTCATACTTTAGTTGAGCCAAAATTTTATAGCATAATTTTGTCTTCAACAATTAAGGAATCAACATTTCTACTTAATACAACTTGGGTTTCATACCTGAAACAACTGTTGTACCATAGGGAAGACACTGGCTTGGGTTAACTTGGGAAACTATATGGTTGATTGTTGGCTCACCAACATCATGGACAGCATGGAGATTGTGTGATTTTTGCTGCAGAACCTGTTGTCTCTGCATCTTGATATCAAATTCTGGAGTTGATGAAAACTTGAGATCATGTCTCAAATTAGTAGAGGTTTGAAAATGTTCTGGTACAGGCTGCTGCTGTTGATGATGATACTGTTGGTGTGGCTCTTGACTGGTTTGCACTCTAAGATTCTGAGAATACTGAGGGAGGAACTGACTTTGAGGAAATGTGGGGGAATGGTCCTTTGAATGGGTTATGCTGTCATTCCCCAGTGGTTGATAGTTACATGGAGGCAAGATCATGCTACTTCTATACTTTTGATGACTGCTTGGAGGGTTTGTAATATCACTTTCACTCTGCTGGTGGCTGCCTAAATTTTTGTTATGGTTTATTCTATTCTGTTCATAGTTGCCCGTTGGGAGTAAGGTACTACTCGTTAGTGAATAATTGCCCAGAGAGGATATCCCTCTCCCATCACTGTTTTGGATTTTGCTGTCTAGAGAAGGTATGCTACCACTTCTAACTTGTTCGTGGTTGTTAGAGGAGAATATAGCTGCACTTCTTCCTTGCTCAAAGTGACTGGAAGGATTCCTTCCCCCACTCACACTTTGGCCATTATTCCCAGGTGAAGGTATACCTGGACTTACATTCTGGCTCAGGGTTCCTGGTGATATCACACCCCCTCTTATATTATGGTTGTAAGATTTTTGTAAAGGTAAACACCCATTATTATTTTGGTTACAGTTTTCAGAAAATTGTATATCCCAACTTTTTTGATAAGTCTGAGTTCCAGGAGGTTCGTAAGTCACTGCAGGTGACAACTGATTATTTTTGCTTTGTTGATAATTAGCAGTACCACATTGTTGAGGACTTTCAGGGTGGATGAGGTTACCACTGCCATACTGTTGCCCAGGACTTGAGGAGTAAAGTCCATTGTCTGTGTGCAAAGGTGATGTGGAGGAACACAACTGAGTAGAGCTGAGTGAGCTGTACTGTTGGGTTGGACAGGTGTGAAATTGAATAGGTTCTCGCTCTAAATTGAACTTTTTGGTTGAAACAGAGCTCATGTCATCCACTAATGTCCGCTTGTTTGATGGATTGTACCAGGGGTCTTCATCTACAGTCTTGACTCTATGTCCTTTTAACCCAGGAGACTGATCATCAAAACCTTCAGGTGGAGAGCTAAATGCATCAAAACTACAAAATCTCTTTGGTCTACTCTGGAATGGATTGACTTCATTGCATCCTTCTTCATGATGATTCGGTGAATTTACAGTGTCTTTCTGGATAGGAGTTTGCGGACTTGGTTCATCTGATTGCGTGAGCCTCACATCTGAATTTTCATTTTCTACATTTCCAAGAGAGTTAACAGATTCAATCATTTTCTGTACAGTTTCTGGGTTCATCATTTGTTTCAGTACCATCAACAGCTCAGGTGGCAGCTGAAAATGAAAGATCATTACAATATTGACTTATTTAAATTAAATGATAATATAAAGGAATATGGAATAGTTAATAATCAGTTAACTGAATGTTGTTACACTTTAGGTAGTACAGTACTGTACTCTATTAGTATAACAGTATATTCAATCAATTCATTACTTTGAATTTTCATACAGCAAGCATTAATTTGCTTAAGTTTTCAGGCACAGACACAGTCTGTTTTTCCTTGTGTAATAAAAGGTCAGCAGATACGGATAAAGAAACCTGATCATATTTACCGAGGATGAAATGGAGCTGAGATGATCATCAGACTCCTGGGAGGTTATGATGGGCAGTAGTTTCCTCCTCTGGTTCTTAATCTCATTTTCAGCTTCTTTGACACTGATATAAATAGTAAATATGAAGTAATCCTAAATACTGCAAAACAATCACTGGATTTTGAAAGAAAGACTGTACAGTACAGGTATTGTTTTTACAGAAAAGGTGCGATAATCATAATATTACAGCTTACAGCTCCTGAAACAGAAATAAATATAGTCTATTGCCCAGTAATATACAAGTTAACAGGGGAAAGAAAATCAGAAGACTCCTTTGTCTCACTAGAAGAAGAATTTTCTTTGATGATATTCATACTACACATTAACACCCCCACTTAAGAGTGACCCATTTTTGAGCTTTTTAACTAAAAAGCTCTTGGTCCTGGAGGTTACAGTACAAGTGATATCTCCGTTAGCCAGAATCCCTGAGTTTGTATTTTTTCTTTTCTCAAACACGACCAATATATTTCATAGCCCCCACACACACTGATATATATTAAGCCATGAATTATCTCGCACTACACATGAAAATTAGGGTTATTGATTAATAAGACAAAACTTAAGGTGGTATTTCTCTAAGAGCCAAAGACTATTCAAGTAATATATTAGCTATATATTTATATTCTTTTTAAATCCTACTCACCTTAGAACAGTGTTGATGCAAACAAAAGACTCAACTTGTCCTGTTTGCTTATTCACTTCAAGGTATCCTCTAGATCGTAGAGTTACGTGAGATCCATCTCGACACCGAAGCCTATACGATACTATTCCTTGTCCTTGACTGCTGGTAAACACTGAAAATGAGGTGATGTAGACCATTAACTGATGAATGCAAGTAATAAAGAAATCCGCTCCCATCTGGCCATACTGTACTATAGCATGAAAAAAAATCTGTATGGAAAATAGTCCTTTTTTTATATAGCAGCAAGATTCAATGGATGACAATGCATGGTTTTATGTCAGGATGCTCCTGCTCGACACAATTAGTACTCAAGGTGTTGGATGTTTGGACTCAAATTCTGGAACAGGGTGACAATACAGTATCGATAATATACAGTATACCGGTCTCCCATCTACAATACAGTATTTGGCTTTAACGATGATGATGTATTGAGACCACCCCCCTATTTACAATGTAAATAATCCACACTTGTCAGCTGCAGTATACCCAAGCACTGCCTCATGGCCACCTGTTGCACTATAGTACCAAGTTTTGTTCTTTGGTGATCACACATGGTCGTTATCGTGTAGTTCAACAATTATCGGTCAGTATCTGGATTTTGTCAAGGATTTTAACGCTTACCCCAGGAAAGGCTGAGAATTAAACTGGAATGGTACGGGATTTGGGGAAGTTTCCTAGTGTGGATCAGGTACTTACTGCATGACAGCAAGCAGTATGTGGTGATTAATGGCACAAAATCATCATGTATACCTGTGACAAACAGGGTACCACACTACCACATGACAGTATATTGGACCCACTGCTGTTTGTTCATTTTATAAATGACATGCTAGAAGCTATACACTCCTCCATACAAATGTTTGCAAGCAATGCAAGTTATTCCAGAAATTAAGAACCAAACAGACTGTGGAGAGCTACAAAAAGATTTCTGTCAGCTTCAGGAGTGGTCGAAGAAATAGCTGATAAGATACAATGTCACAAAGTGTAAGAGGATGCACCTAGGTCGTACCAACAGTAAGGTGTATCACATTTCCCAATGGGATGAAGAAACGGCATTAATTGAGACCGAATGTGAAAAAGACCTGAGTGTGTCTATTGACAATGAACTGAAGTTCTTGAGCCATTGTGAGAAGAAGGTGAATCAAGCAACTAAGCTAGTAGGTCTTAAAAGAAGGTTGTTCAGATATCAAAATAGTCCATCCCCCATAATGCTGGTCAAGAGTGAGGTGCTTCACCCCGTCTGGTCTCCGAGATATGCTAGAGACAGTCAGTTGATTGAAAATGTCCAAAGGAGGGCCACCAAACTGTGGTGCCTGCTTTATGGCACCTCAGTTACCCAGAGAGATTAGAACGTCTGCAACTGACTAGCTTATACTATATATGGGCAAGGGATATCTTAATTGAAGTTTATAAACATCTCAGAGGGCACTACTTAGTCGAGTATCCATAACTGGAGCTGGCAGACATCTGTCCCACTAGGAGTCACAGATCAAGGTTGAAGAAACCACAAATCCTGAAAATTGTGAGAGCAAGCTCTTTCAGAGTGAGAATTGTAAACTCTTGGAACAATCTGCCAGAGAGTGTTGTAATGGCACTGAATGTGAGCTCTTTCAAGACCAGACTTGACCAACACTGGAGCAGGTACAGATACATTCTGGAGACAGTACATGCCCAGTACTTGCCAAAAGTGCATAGCAGAGACATGACCGTCTTCCCAAACGGCTAACGAGCTGATCAGTGGCGAAGAGGTAATGAAGAAAAACTGCTTAGGTGTGTACTTTTTCAGTGATCCTATAGAGTGGGTTTAATTTTAGGTGATGACTGGCAACAGCACAAATTCAACTTAGATTATCCAGGAAATACAGATGATCATCATCAGCTGTTACTGAGCAATAAATTAAAGACTAACTGAAAATATAAATGACAGACACATGCATATCATGCCTAATAATTTTATCAAGGAAGCTTCTCAGCAAAATCCCTTGATGTAGCTGTGATGGTGCGGCACTCTGAAGTCTCACCCAAAGTGACACATAGTCTCGCTACGCCTCTGCTCTGAGATACATATTATCAGGGCCAAGGTTCTTATGAGACTTGAGCTTTGACAACTTGGTTCTCATACACTCTTCTGAGAACTCAATATACATTAGTGCTGTATCAAACCATTTTTCCTCAAATACAGGTACAGTGATCCCTCGGTTAACGAGCGCCTCGGTTAACGAGATTTCGGTTAACGAGTTACCTCCCATAAGATTCTTAACTTCGGTTAACGAGCAATCCCTCGATTAACGAGTTTCTTACGAGCTGACCTCAACATGTTTTCGCTTGTACTTGGCGGTCAACCAGCTGTAGTATTAGTCCGCCAATACAGTAATCGGTTCTAGGGCTTAAATTCCTTACTATTTTAGTAAATATCAAGAAGTTTATACTATTCAATAATTTTAAAAGTTTTTTATTAAATTTTTTATTCATTTTAACAATTATTGAACATAATTGAAGGTAAAGTCACTAGTTTTATGCACGCCATCCAGCCTTTTAACACACCAAACAAGCGTTAGTCTCTCTGTTTTCGGTGGAGGTAACATCTTGCTTGAGACTCTCTTCAACTAAAAGCTTTTTTCTGTGTTTTCAAGCAAATTATTGGTCATTTTGAAATTTATTTTACATATTTACAATATATAGCGCAGTGCAGTGTTATTTTAAAGAAAATATTCTTTATTTACGGCAAGTTTAACTTTATAAAACACGTGTTGACATTGTTTGAATCCAGCATGGGGCCTAAGAGATCAAGAGAAGCGATTTCAATAAAAACAAAGCAGGAAATTATAAAAAACATGAACAAGGCAGAAGAACAAATGCGCTATGCAAAGAATATGGCATGTCGACATCAACTGTGTCGACAATTCTTGCACAGAAAGACAAATTTAAAGAAGTGAAAGTGAGAGACAAATCTACCAGAGTGTTTAAAAGTAGATCCCTAATTGCAGAAACTGGGAGGTTACTTCTCATCTGGATTAGGGAAAAACAGATGAAAGGTGATTTCAGTTTCTACTGAATTCATTTGTGAAAGAGCCAGGGAGATTTACGAACATTTAAAGACAGATCAACCTGGTTCTTCAGGCACAGATTTTGAAGATTTTCGGGCCAGCAAAGGCTGGTTCGAAATATTTAAGAAAAGAAGTGACATTTTCAGTGTTGTTAGGCATGGTGAAGCTGCTAGTGCTGACAAGGAAGGGGCGGCAAAGTTTTTAGTGGAATTTAAAGAACTGATGGAAGAAGAAAATTATCTTCCACAGCAAGTGTTCAATGTGGACGAAACTGGGCTGTTCTGGAAAAAAGATGCCCAAAAGAACATTCATCACAAGAGATGAAGCCTCTTTACCTGGGCATAAACCCATGAAAGACCGTCTCACTCTATTGCTTGGTGCCAATGCTTCAGGGGATTTCCGACTGAAGCCTATGCTTGTCCACCACTCTGAAAACCCCAGGGTGTTCAAGCAACAGAAAGTGGTAAGAACAAAGCTTGGAGTTTATTGGAAGTCCAACCGTAAGGCATGGGTGACAAGACAGCTCTTTAATGAATGGACTGTTGATGTGTTTTGCCCTTCTGTCAAGAGCTACCGAACCACCAACAAACTTCCCTTAAAGGCTCTTCTCTTCATGGATAATGCTCCTGGTCATGACCCTGAACTTGCCAGAACTTTGGAGTATCAATTTGACTTTGTGAAATTGTTGTTTTTGCCTCCCAACACTACATCAATCATACAGCCAATGGACCAGAATGTGATCAGCAACTTCAAGAAGTTGTACATGAAGAAAATGTTTAGGAGGTGTCATCAGGCAACTTCCAATGATCCTGAACTAACACTGAAACAGTTCTGGAAGACACAATTCAACATTCTGGAGGCTGTAAAATTGATTGTATCATCATGGCAAGAAGTCTCCACTAGATCCCTCAATTCTTCATGGAAAGCACTGTGGCCATCAGTAGTCCATGATTTTGAGGGATTTGAGGAAGAAACAGAGTTGGACCAGGAGATTGTGTCCATTGGTCAGTCATTGGGCCTTGAAATGGAAGAGGATGATGTCGAAGAGCTTGTGATGTCTCATGAGGAGGAACTTACTCCTGATGACTTGAACCAACTGGATGAGATGTTAGAGGCTGACAGTGGTGAGGAGGAAATTGAAAGTAATGACCATATGTTGAAAGATGTAATTTACCACTGGGAGAAGTTCAGGGAACTGGCTTCAAAGCACTCAAATGTGGAAAAAACTGAACTAACTTTGTGTCATGTTGAGGACTCAATGGTCTCCTTCTTTAAACATAAGTTAATGGTGAGGATGGGAGATGCCCCACGGACCACAATTGACACTTTCTTCAGTAAAAGGCAGAGGGAACAAGATACTATCCCTCAGCCTTCCACTTCAAGAAGGAGAGAGGATGATGCTAGCCCTCAGCCTTCCACTTCAAGAAGGGGAGAGGATGTTCATGGTGGAGAAAATGTCAGTCCAGAGGTTCCTGACATTTTCATGGAAGGTGACTCACCTTCCAAGAAGCAGTAAAATGCTTCTCCTCCACCCCCACTTCCTTCTCTTCTCCCTTCTCCTCCTCCACTTCCCACTTCAAATTCACATCAGCATCATCATCCAGGAGCCTTCTACATACACACCTCAAGGTAAGTGTCAATTTCTAAAATTTTTGTTGAATTTAGGCAATTTTCGGTGAGCTGGAACCAATTACCCAAAAACCCATTGAAACAATGGTTTCGGTTAACGAGATTTTCGGTTAACGAGCATCCTGCTGGAACGGATTGTGCTCGTTAACCGAGGGACCACTGTACTGTAGGTTGTTTGCATCCTCTCGTGTGAACACTGTGGAAAATAATTTATTTTATGCTTCCACCTTGATCTGAGTCCGCATAATTACCATCCTCAAGTCTCAGATCTGATACATCCACATGCAGTGGTGGGCACGGTTCCGCTAATCCGCTAACTGTGAATTAGCGAAGCTTTCTCATTAGCGGATTAGCGTTTTTGCTAACTTTGGAAACCATTAGCGGACCAATTAGCTTCCGCTAAATTTAGTTCTGCTAACTTTAAGTCCTCTAACAAAATTTATGAATGTTTGTTCCTGTCTGTTGTAAGTGTGTGACGCCGCGACGCGTGTCTCCAACAGCCAGTCAGGCACGCTTGGCTGACTGCGTGTTAGTGCGTGCAATGATATCTTGAGAGCCAAGAGAGCCACCCTGTCAGATGGCAACTTTGAAAGGCTGATGTTTATGAAGGGCAACCAGCATCACGTCGAGGTGATGGAGATGGCACAGCCACTGCAGCCAGAGTGAATGGAATTTTTCGATTATTAAAGTTTAATACTTTTTTTTTACAATAAATAAAGGCTGTCAGTGTATGTTGAAAGAATCATAGAATGTAACTGTAAACTAATGTATAATTTCATTTCTCTTTTATTTGTTAATTTAATTAGGATTTTTTTGTGTCAATATATTTGGTCATCCAAGGTGTGTGCCAAACAAAATTTTCTAAAAACTTACTTTTCATTAAAGTTTAGAGTTTTCTGTTTATTTACATGACTAAGACCAACAATAAGTTATGTAAAAATGCACTGGTATAATGTGTATGTGGTTGGTATTGCATATTTACATGAATGAATATGGCCGATAGGTTGTATGAGAATGCAAATTAATTATTTGTAAAATTGTGTACAGTGTACACCTTGATAAGTTGATCATCATCTGATCTTGGCACGATGCTATTTGCTACCTATGCTATACAGTACTATAGTTTTTGGATTCGTTTAATACTTTCTGTCTTTTCGTACAGTAAATAAAGATTATAAAGTGTATGTTGAAACTTGAATGTAAACTAATATTTAATTTCATTTGTTCATTTAATTATTTGTGTACACCTTGATCATCATCTGATCTTGGCATGCTATACCTTTTTGGAAAGCTCTATGTCTAAGCCACAAGACAACATATGAAAATTTCAGCTCTCTAGGTCTGTTTTTAAGGGTTTTAGAGCCCCCCCCCCCAAAAAAAAAAGAAGCTAAATTCATATAAAAAAAGTTAGCGGTTAGCGTTAGCTTCCGCTAATTTTTTTTAGCTATTTAGCGGTTTAGCGTTAGCGAAGTTAACTTTTTAGTTAGCAGATTAGCGGTTAGCGAAGCTAACTTTTCGTTTAGCTGTGCCCACCACTGCCCACATGTGTCTTTAACTTTTATTTTGTGTAAGAGCAAAAAGCCTTGGGGCTTGACTTGGCCTCATTTACAATACATCTCTGGAACTTATTTTCAGCCTTTATGGAAAACAATTTACTTAAAGCTGACAACAAACCACAGACTCTTAAAGGGTTTGGACGTACTTAGCTTTTGGGCAACAATGGACCACATCATGTCATCGGGATGCATATAGGTAAACGCCGATGTTCCTACAACCTCTGCTGGCATCAAGCCTGTCACAAAAGATATTCTGAAAAACAGGTAAAAGATAAATGGTAAGTCATTCACCACAAGTTGTAGACAATACCTGTACAGTAGTAGTATTTTCCAAACAAGGAGCATTTTAAATTACAAGAGTTTGGAACAAAATATTTACTCTATCTTACAGTATAAAGTGCTTATACACTCTATATTGCATGTAATCAATGTACAGTAATCATAAATACATGCACTACACTTGGATCAAAATTATAGAAGTACTCTGTACAGTAGTCGGGTTACCTAATGTGGTAACACGTGTAACTCTCCCCAATACAGTATGTCAAGGGTTCGAGCCTCGGCCCAGACACATGTGAGAAGGGCGTTATCCAGTGTGATCCTATCAAACATCACAAGTTTCCTGGTCCCCAGTGTGATCCTGTACGTACTAACACTGGATAGAGCGACCAATCAGCTATTAAGATGATAAGCAGCGATTTTTTATTATTATTATTTTTTCTACGGCGTTTCTGAGTTTGTACTTTATTGTCCCGTGTTAGAACAGGAAGAAACAGAAGTACTCGAAGAAAACACCCAATGTTTGGTGGGTACTGAACCCAGGCCTCAATGATGAGAGGCAAGTGTGCTATCTCTGTCCTTCCAACATACCCTTTTAAAATTACACTACAGGTTGAACCTTGATTTAACGGCATCGATAGAACCTGGACCGTGCCATTAAATCCAAGCTACCATTAAATCAAAATATAGGAGGGGGCAAAAATATAAACACTCCATGGTCTAGTTTCTGTAATATTTCAACCTTGTGCACAATATTCATGGAAACTCTTTCTTCTGTGGGTCACTAGCAACTCGGGTAGGGTTTTCAGGTTGTTTAGAGGCCATAATTGGTGCAAAGAAAGTTTAAATTTAAGGGAGTCACACGAGCACAGAACTGTCTGGACTTCAATGCAAAAATAAAATGACCGTAGCACTGCGGGAGCATTGCAGCAGGTAGAGGAACTCGTAGAAATTATAGATGGACCATTCAAATTTATTATCTTTAAATATTGCCGTTAAATGCAAATGCCGTTAAATCGAGGTTCAACCTGTACTGTATTTCATTTTAATTTACCGCTTTGATGAGGTCATAATACATTGTTTAGTTGTTCAGGGGTAATTGAAGGTTAAGTTCAGGTACAGTACCTCTAAAACTTGTGCAACCCTAATCACAAGATGAGTCTTAAACAAAATTAAAGTTTTAAAGGTAGAAAGACAATCACATTCAAAATAAAAAACAAACAAACAAACATAATCTATACTGCAAACAAAGATAATGAACTCATTACACCTTTGGAGACAGTGGTACAGTGATGGTGGTGGGATTTGAAAAGTCAGACAGAAAGCGGGCAGATTTATATTTTTTCAAATTAGTTTCTTTCACCTTTGCTAGCTGCAGCACCACCAAAAACTACAAAGGATACTTGGGACTTATTATAATATACACAGAACTAACACAGAGAGGGTACAGAACAAAAGCTGTACCATGTGGTATATACTGACACAGTGAAAGATGCCTAGCAACTGATGCTGCTCCCACCTCTCTGTCAACAGCAGATTGTGTTGAAACAGGAGGTGGACAAATCGAAGATGGCTGGCAAATGACCACCCAGTTTTACCACCACCTACTCATGAAACTTCCCTACACATCTACCAAACCCTTGTATTATATTTATTCAACATACAGAAAGGAATCAAAGTGTCAAACATTTATGAATTGTTAACCCTTACATGGTGAGGTGCATTAATCCATAACTAGACCCCCTCCTGTGTGCAAGGAGGAGGAGAAGGTAAAAGTTAAAACATTGTGTGAAGTAACCGCTTTAATTCTTAAGGAAATATACTGTATGACGTTGGCTTTTTGATTACCATAATTATCAAGTCGCACATTTCTAGTGAATCACAAAGCAATACTGTACCTGTATTACCCTTAGGTATATGCCAGCAACAACTGATAACAAGTAACTGACCACTAATCATACCCACTATACTGTATCTCCAAGCTGAACTTTGCCAGTCTAGTACGATATTGTAGTAGCCAAGACATATTGTTGTCAAAACTTCTCTTTATATGAAAAAATCAAAACAAAACAGTCACTGAAATTCATCAATATTATTTTAATACCTATTTTGGATTTAGGTACCGGTAACAATATTATGACTATATCTTTGACATATGATGTTTGAAATTAAGAAATACAATGTATTTGTAAGATAAATTGTTGATGGAAGTCTTATTTTCCTCTGTTGATGTCAGGGATGCCTGCAGAAAATGTGTGGTGATTTTCTGACGAACTTATACTTATCAATTAAATTTTGGAAGTGTTTGTGTGTTTTCCATCCTATTTTGGGGGATGAAAATACTTTATTAGTGTCAAGCTAGAAATCTATGGGTGTTACTTTGAATTGTGTGTTCCTTAAAAATTAACCTTTGAGATTAGTGATCAAGCCAATGACAAGAGCATGAGAGGTGGCAAGAGTGAAAGCAAAAAAAATTAATAATAATAAAAATAAATTTGTTAAGTATACCTGGGTTATGAGGTGTAGAGAAGAGAGGAGCCATTATTAAGATAACTGTGGTGCAGACTTGTACAGTATTAGGTGACAAACATTAAGGGTTCAGAGAAGTAAGGAACCATCAGAGAATAACACGAAAAGAGCCTTATCATTTTGAACAATTAAAAAGCCAATATGTACTACTTTTTTTTTTTTTTTTTTTTTTACACAGTACATGTAATCAAACAAACCTGTGATCTGTATACAGTATTTTTGCGTCCATTCCATGTCTAGTAATATATTCTTCCTGTGTTGACTCTACGAGGGAAAGCTCTGTGATTGGTCGATCTTTTACCACACGCACAAAACTGACCAGTATGTGTGTTCCACTTCTGCTTGTAGAGGATTTTAAGGACTGATTGTCTCCATCTACGTCTGACTCATTATCGTCATCATGATCTGGAAATATACAGTATATACAGTAGAGACCAGTACAGTATAGCAAATGCAGGTACAGTACAGTAAACAATATACTATACATAGATAGGGCAGGTATACAAACCATGTAGAGTCAGTAAAAATATATCTAGACCCTATTTATGGTCTGGTGAATAAATGATTAGCAATAACTTCTGGTGTTTTGATGTACTTTATTAGAGTGTTCTATGATAAAAGTTCATAAATAATACCACAAATAATATATTGAATGTGCAACATATTACTGTACTTTAGTGATAAATAAATATACAGTACTGTACAGTATTTGCGCAACATGGGAGGAACATTGTTGAAGGCCTTCAGATGAGTTGATATTCCATACAAGTTGTGTATGATAGAAAACCACTAGAAAGTAAATGTGTTGACTAATTTTAGTTGTTGTTGAAATTATGGTATGTTTAATTCTTGTTTTTACCTGAAGATAAAATAAGGTGTTATTAAATCATTAATAATATAATATTTATCTGTTAATGCCAATGTGTGTTATTAGATATCAATACTGTATTTTGTTTGAGGGGAAAAAACCAAAGTGCATGCATATTCTCCATTACTAAGAGGACAACTGTGAATCAGTACAGCATTGGTAGTTTAGGTTTATAAAATATGAATATGAAGTTGGGATTTTATTCATTAAAGAAACATGACTTGGTGGTTGCAGTAATATGATTCATCCACAGGCAACTAATGGGATGGAAGGCAAAAACATCAACATCGAAACCTCAAAGGAAACGCGAGGTGCAATTACTGTCCTTCACTACAAGGGTATACAGTATAAGCAATGCTTTAGGTTGCTCACAGGACTTATTATGTAACAAAATTATGACAACAGTGGACTGTAGCTGTATTTTTTATGCTTAAGTGCAATTAAAAGGTTTTGTTTTGAGAGACGAGTATGTGAACTTTACCATATGTGCCAGCTAGTTATTTTTCTTTATACTGTATAATTCATCTAATACGCAGGGGTCCCCGAGTTACGAATGGGTTCTGTTGAAAATGTACGTAAGTCGAAACACATGCTATGCGCATACCGTACTTACAGAACAATGTTTAAAATCCCACTATATCATAACTTAAGTCCTTGTATACATCTAAAATCACTTAATTTAAGAGAAAAGAAGAAACAGAATGATAAAATACAGTAAATGAAAGTAAAAAAATAAGTCATCAGGTAAATAAAATACTGTAAATTTAAAGATTAACCCCGTTCATATCGGCGGGCATTCATAAGTCGGGGACCCCCAGTAATACTGTATCCCATTATGTATTTACACATTATAAAGAACCATTAATGTTCTACACACAACCGAGATAACATTACTACAGTACCTGTCTATAATAAATAGGGACAAAACACATATGGAATTATTGGGAGACACAATTATAGTAACTCTGCTGTACTAGAGCAGCAGGCCGGCCAATACTTGATGATAACCACTTTAAGTCTTCAGCCAATATTTCACACTGTTACACATGGCCTTGGTAGAGATAGTACCTAGACAGTATGGGCATACAAACAATGTACCTAGATATTGTAGGAATAAAAAAATAATATACATAAGAGCTCCGAGACAGTGTGGGATATAATCCTGTAATTTAAAAAATTCACCCACAGCATGACTGCTGGCCCATAAGCCTTGCCCCTCGTCTATAACTACAAATAGCCGATTGGTTCCCCCGAGCGTTTTACCTCTTCCCGGACTGCATGTATATAAGCGCGTATTGATATCGACCTTCTATAATAAATATTAAAAATTTTCTAACATCCTCTCCGAAGTGCTAATGCCTTGAAATGATTTTCATTTTGATAATCCAGATATTGAACATTTTAGATAATAACAGGTCTGCTTACCAAGTGTGAACACATTTAGTTTGAATTTTCTATGAACCAATCAGCTATTAGTATCGAAGAAGGACGTGGCCTATGGGCCAGGTTAGCGTGGAAAGGGTATAAGTGTGGTTATCATTGGGTATAAAAAGTAAACTAACTTAAGAAAAAACCCTAATTTCATCCATTTCTATGCTATATAATGAATTTTGAACTGCTGTTCTATTTGCAATGTATACAGATGGACACTTAAATTCTTACATAATGATGACAGCATGTTCCAAAACAACAAACATACACATTCCCCGTCAACACATATATTGTTAATATAACACTTTCTCTGTACCTACACGTATTCTCAATCTAATTCTCAAATTACACTTATTCCTTCGGTGATTTTTTTTTATTTACTTCCATTCATGTGCCACCATTTCCTCACTGGATAATGTAATGTTATATTAAATGAATTTTTTTACGCTTCACATTCCCATCAAATTATTTTTCTTCCTGTCACTGGATCATTCTTCCTTATACTGTATTAAGTCTCATTATAAGAATTTAAACTCCACACTCTTCATTAGATAATAAGTACTGTACGTACTGTAATAAATCTAATTGCCATTATCAGTTATTAGAGTAAGATGCATCACAAATGGAAAGACACTGAAATATATTTTTTTAGCTTCTTTTTTTTGAATGGTGAAAAAAATTTCATTTATATACAGTAATAACTTACCACTGGAGGTGTTTGTCCCACTTGGAGATGGTGCCAATACACAAGAAGAAGAAGACATTAAGCCTGCACTCTGTGGTATTGGTCGTAGGTGACCAACAATGTGAATAATTTCATAGCGGCCGGGGTCATTACGAGTCAGTGCTTTCTCCATCATACGACAAAAGAAGGACCTCCGGTTGTTTTCTGAAAATATAAATGAAAAGTTCACCTTGAAAATTATATTTCATGAACTGGGATCTGTATCACTACACACATTCTAGCTGAATTCACCTTTTGCAGGAGTACAAGGCATTTTAATGGCAGGTCACAATATCTAGGCAGACAATGAGTGATAACATTTTCTGCTATAACTAGCACTTCCCATTCAGACAGCTCAGGGTCAAATTAATCCCATTTGAAACAGTGGTCGACTTGAGGTCCAGTGAGGATCCAGTCAGTGGTCAGAATTTTTCAGTAGCTCACACACTTCAAATCCTCTTCAGACATAATGGGAAGTTAATATACAGGACTGGTCTCAATTCCTCTCAGTTCCTGTTAATTTCTAAACCAACCAAGGGACCAGAGGAAACAAATCACTTATTTCTTTCCTTGAGCAATTAAAATGGGACTGCCAATGTCAATACACCTGTAAGTGTATTTATGTACTGTATATTGATCATATATATATATATATATATATATATATATATATATATATATATATATATATATATATATATATATATATATATATATATATATATATATATATATATATATATGATACGCTACCTCTGGGCCACCAGGACACTAAAAGCAGTCCTAGACTCTGTTATATTTCACACAAAGCCTGTTCAGCGAGCTTATGGCGCCCAGAGGTAACGTTACCCGGTCACAATTATAAGATCGTGGGTTCGAATCCTGGCGGGGTGAGGTGTTGATTATATGTAGAAATCTGCGTGCTTTATTGGGCTAATGAAATATATATATATATATATATATATATATATATATATATATATATATATATATATATATATATATATATATATATATATATATATATATATATATATATATATATAATTTTTTAGTAAAAAAAATGTGAATGGTCAAAACCGCGATAAAAAACTCGCAGAAAACACGGGATTACTGTACTGTGTAAAGGTACGACAGCCATCAACATTACACCTCTATTACTTTTCATTCCATCCACAGTTATAGAGCACAAACATAAAAAGTAATCTGGATATACATCCAGGTGTGTGTGTTGGTATCCATACAACTATGCAGTACTGTACTGTACTGTAACTAGAAAGCAAATAATTACCTCTTGGATTGAGCTGCTGCTGGAAGATTTCATGGTCATCAGGATGAATAACATTATAGATACTTTGTCCTAATAAGTCCACCTGAAAAATATACAGTAATCAATAACACAGTACAGTAATTCTGCATAACACAATACTGTACAACAGGCATGAGCAACCTTTCCACAGTCATTGGCCACATTACAATTTAGGCATTTTTCGGCAGACAAACTCACCAAAATTTATATCCTACCTTAAGTAATGTTAATATTGTATTAGCACGGACAGTGAAACAGTTTATCGTCACGTCCACCATTTTACTTTTACTTTTTTTTTTACTGTTTTTTCTCTTCGCCACTGATCGGCTCGTTAGCCGCTTGGGCAGTCAGTCACTTCTCTGCTACGCACTGTTGGCAGATACTGGATCCTGAATATATCTGAACCTGCACCAGGGTTGGTCAAGTCTGGCCTTGAATGAACTCACACTAAGTGCCGCCACAACACTCTGGCAGATTGTTCCAAAAGTTCATAATTCTCACTCCAGAAAAATTTGCCCTAACAGTTTTCTGGACTTGTGTCTTCTTCAACCTTGAGCTGTGACCCCTTGTGGGGCAGACGTCCGCCAGTTCCAGTTATGTACATTCGACTGAGTCGTGCCCCTGAGATATTTATACACTTCGATTAGGTCGCCCCTTGCCTGTCTGTAGTATAAGCTCGGTAGATGCAGGAATTCCAATCTTTCTGGCATATCTCGGGGACCAGATGGAGTGACAATACTCCATACGGGGAAGCACCTCACTCTTGAAGATCGTGACGATTGACGGACCTTCCAGATATCTAAACGACCTTCTTACAAGACCTAGTAGTTAATGTTGCCTGAATCACCTTCTTAAAATGGCCTGAGACCTAAGTTCATTGTCAACATACACACCCAGGGCCTTTTCACATTCGGTCTCAATTAATACAGTCTCTTCATCCTGATGGGACATGTGATATGCCTCCCTACTGTTAGTGTGACCCAGATGCATCCTTTTGCACTTCGTGACATTGAATTTTAGCAGCCATTTCCTCGACCATTCTTGAAGCTCACAGAGATCTTTCTGCAGCATTTCACAGTCTGTTTGGTTGTTAATTACCGAAATAACTTGGCATCGTCCACAAACATTTGTATGATGGAGTGTATAGCTTCTGGCATGTCAGTAATGAAACAGACAAACAACAACAGGCCCAATACACTGCCCTGTGGTGCCCCGCTAGTCAATGGTACACATGACGATTTCGTAACATTTATCACCACGCACTGTTTGCGATCATGCAGAAAGTCTCTGAACCACGCTAGGACACTTCCCGAATCCTGTACCCTTCCAGTTTAATTCTCCGCCTTTCATGGTGTACACTGTCGAAAGTTTTGGCAAAATCTAGGTATATATTATCGACATTTCTGCCATGTTCTAGAATTTGAGTCCAAACATCTAGTACCTAGTACAGTACCTTTAACATCAACAGGACATACTTAGCAGAACTATTTAAGATGGCCTCCATCCTCATTTAACACTCATAGCTACAGTGGTTAAGTTACGGTGATAATCCTTTTTGAAAGTGTATCTGAAACTCTTTTTACAATAAACAAACAAAAGGAACATATTGGATTTCACAACAGAAGATCCAATAAACTTTTATCTATAACTTAGTATGTCTAAAATACTGTATAAGGTAACGTGCTTCACAAGTGATTGTTACAAGTGGTGATAACCCAGGAAGGTTGTTACATATATTACATTATGACAGTTTCACAAGTAGCTGTAATATTTACGGTAACAGTCACCTCAACAGTTACACAGCTGGTAACGGTAAAGATAATTTGTTCTCCCCATCACTGTGTTACACTGTTATTAGAAGTTTTATTACATAATAATAATAATACAGTACAGTACTGTAAAGTAATAATAACACTGTAGCTGGTCTTTCGTTTATCAAAAGTGCCAATTCTTCTAAAAAATTCACTACCAATTGGAACATTACAAAGTCAAGGACCTGAAAATAAAAGGAAATACTGTGCTACAAAAAAAAAATCACAAAAAGTGACAGTTCGACTTCTACCATTTGTATTCCCTTAAGTTGCAATACTTCCTAAACCCTGTAATTTTCCATTACTGTGTGCTGTTCAGGATCATAAGCTCTCAAAAAAGAACAGCTTTTAGTTGTTTCTTAAAGGCCTCCACAGAAGTCGACTACTTCATGGATGCAGGAACTAATTGTACAATCTGGGTGTGGTACAATATACTAGAAGGATCAGGCAGCAATTGAACATTCCATACTGCTCTAGGCTTCTCAAGGCATGAATGATCATTAATACTAAGCAAAATCATTTCGGAATGTGTAGTCAGAGGAATTAGTAGGTTGGCCAAATACTTAGGATCACAAAACATTAGTGTCTTAAAAGTCATTAAGCAGAGTTTGAACTCTATCCTAGCTTTAATTGGAAGTCAATGCAACTGATCAAGAATGGGATAGTGGGAGTCCTCGATGGAAGAGCAAAAATAAGCCTGGCAACCCTGTTAAACACTGTTTGAACTTTCTTCAGTAGATAATTAGGTAGGTAGACCCATAAAGAGTTACAATAGTCAACCTAAGGCAAAGTAAGTGAATGTAATAATGTCACAGGACATGGTCTATACAAAATCTATTTAACAGCATATAGGTTTCGAATATGAAACTTGCAACTCTTAATCACTGAATTTATATAACCCTTTAAAATTCAATTTTGAGTCAAAGTACACTACAAGATTATGAACACAATCAACAAGACTAAGTTGTACTTCCCCGGAGTTTTAAGAGCCAAAATCATCTATGCTGTCATCCCTCCTATTTCCTCAGCTTAAGTTTTCTCCTAACCATCCAAATCTTAATATCAGACATCAAGGATTTCATTATCTCTCATTACCCTTGACATTTATTATTTTCACACAAAGCTGTGTATCATCGGCATAGCACTGGTAGGCAACACCATGAACATCCAACAGAGATGCAAGACTATTGGTATAAACTGTAAGCAGAAGTGGTTTCAAAACTGATCCCTGTGGGACTCCAAACTGCAAAGTGACTGGGTCTGAAGGGCCCAACCAACCATCACACATTGAGATCAGTCTGACATATAAGACTCAAGCAATGAAAGTGCAGCATCACAGACACCCTAAATGACCAAAGATCCTGATGCAACAAATGATGATCCACTGTGTCAAGGCTGCAGAGAGACCCATCAAGACCAGGAGGGAGGAATTTCATGTGCAAGTGTTTATTACCAAATTATGAATTTTATATAAGGCAGTTTCAGTTGAATAATGCTTCCCATATGCAGACTGGACCAGAGGGATCACTCCATTTCTCTCTAACAGAGGAAGTAACTATAACTGCTCCAGCATGGCTTATCCACACACATTGTCTTGATAATGGTGCACACAAGAAAATTCATTCTGAATTGTGATATAAAAAATAGAGGAAATATTGGATATGATCCCATGCATGCAATTAAACTTACCTGACTATGGCCAAAGAACTGGTCGACTGCCTCGGCAATGTATACCACTTTGCCTGTTGATGTTACCACCAGCAGAAATCCTCCCACAGCCTACAAAGACAACACAGCTTTATAGTCGAATCCTTACCTTAAATCTCATTATTATTCATAATTCCATTAAAGGCGGAATTAAACTGGCAATCATACTGGCATTTTTCACTTTCGCCTAGCACTAGCAGCAGTGGTTTTACTCCAATTGTAGGAAGTTTGTTTACATGACAGGAGTACTATTGCCTCTGGAACCACAATGGAGCAGCTGGAACCAATCCAAAACAATAACAAGATGGATGCCTTTAAAGACTTTGACGGTGAACTGTTAGTTCTCTAATCTTGTTTTGTATTGTATTGTATTAAGCACAAACGTGAAAAGAAATGCTTGAGGACACATTCCTGGATAGCGAGAAAGAAAAAAACTTTGGTTCTGAACTGCAGAATTGGATTGCATTAACAGAAATATCCCAAATGAACATTAGTTAGTATATTTTAAGAATAAATTTCCTACCTGGGTACAGTGTATAATTTAAAGTTTTATATGATTAATTTGTATTTTCATCGTGGAAATAAAAATATAGATGCTAGTAAGCAGACAAGGAGAAGGATGTAAACAATTGAATTAATTTAGCTGTTGTAGAATATCATTTCCTTTTACTATTTTTTCTGTACACAGTACAATACTGTATATTATAATTACTGTGTCTGGACAATAACTGTTCATCTAAACAATACATAATACACAGATAAAACTCTAGCCACAAGTTCTTGAAAAAGAACCTCCACTAGCACTAGCAAAAAGCGAAAATTGCCATATAAGTGCCCGAGTGATGCCACCTTAAGAAATAAACAGAGCTTACTATTATTAAATACAGTAAATACAAATTACCACATACAAAATGTCATTACAGTACTGATACCCTGTGTGAGATTAGAAAAAAGGGAAATAAATTGATTAAGTTAAGTGCTTATCAATAAATAATAAGCATGATCCATCTGTCTGTACTCTACAGTGCTGTAAAAATAAATACTGTATACAGTACAGGTTGTACCTCTCTAGTCCGGCATTCTGTGGTCCGGAACGATTTTAGTTTGTCCAATAGGTAGATAGGCAGCTTTTTTTTTTTTTTAATTTGAATTATTATTATTATTACAGGAGTATTAAATTTTTGCCCCTCAGGCCCCAATGTGGGTCAGTGACCTATGCCCGGGTGGGCTAATCCCCTAAAAAAAAAAAACAAAGCCGCGGGAAATTAAGGTTTGTTTACATCCGGCAGTTCGGCTGCTCTCTCTCTCTCTCTGCTTGTCTATACAGAGTACAACATTTAACCCTTCAATATATATGAGCAGTAAATAAGTGTTGCTTTCATATTCTTATGTAGAGTAATGACGATATGTTTTCACATGTGCGCACTTACATACGCGCAGTCTCACTTTTTTTTACCATTAATGGTTAGCTACTTATATTGTTCCATTTATTAACATTAAATAACATTACAGGTACTTCAAACAACCATACATTAATTTTATTACAGCTAAAATCAGGGTCTTATTTTCTTCAGTTTTATATGTAGAACCAATCAGTCACTGGTTTCGTAAGACTTTAACATAAACAATGCCGGCAGCCGTCTCGTCTCCTCTAATATTCCACGTATTATTAATAAATTGTATTGTTAATTTTGCACACACGTACATTAATTCAATAAAAACAAATTCAGAAACATTAATTAAAATACAGTATATATGAACAGTAAATAAGTGTTGCTTTCATATTCTTATGTAAAGTAATGACGATATGTTTTCACGTGTGCGCACTTACATAAGCGATCTCTCTTTTCTCTTTACCATTATCGTTAGCTACTTCTATTGTTCCATTTATTAACATTAAATAACATTACTTAAAACAACCATATTAATTTTACTACAGCTACAACCAAGGTCTTATTTTCTTCAGTTTTATATGTAGAACCGGTCAGTCACTGGTTTTGTAATCAACGAAAACAATGCTGTGTCATTTCCTCGTGTGTTTTAATATTCTACGTATTATTAATGAATTGTATTGCTCATTTTGCACACATAAACATTAATTCAATAAAAAGACATTCAGTAATAAACAATAATGAATCTTTTGTACATATGAGAAATGACGCTGTTTACACGATTATGCACGTCGTCTGCATGTTGGCGGGCCGTTCAAACCCGTCGAAATTCAAGTTTCCGCCGTCAAAATTTTTATTTATTTATTTTTGTGTGTGTTCCAATAAAATACGTTAAGAATTAAAAACTCGCGAAATTTGAGAAGCTACTATACGACATTTAACCCTTCAATATGCCTTCAAAGAGACCATGATGCAAAGAAAGTGGTGCTAGTGCTTCCAAGCATAAGCACAAGTCACTATCTATCCAGGAAAAGGGTGAATTTCCATGGTCCGGCACCGGTCAGGTCCCGAGGTTGCCGGACTAGAGAGGTACAACCTGAATTATCATTATTTATCTAACAAACTAGCTTCTAAAGCAGATATTGGTGGACTCACTTCTGCTAGACTGTGGGTGACGCTGCTGCTCAACATAGGTGGTGCCCGTCCTGAGTCATCATCATCTTCCTTGAGAACTGAAGAAATAAACATGTTGTTACTACAGTACTGTATCTTTACTGCAGCACTCAGTTATATGAAAGACTTTCCTCACTGACTGACAGAATTTTTCTCCTGTTCCCCAGCCTGTTTGCACCAAGAGATCTTTAATGTGGGCCACAATCTCTTCATTTATGCAGCTTAAGACCAATTCTTGGTTACTCATATCATAATGAGTGTTTATATACAAACAAGCTCAAAAGCATCTAGAATTATATCAACTCTTGATTTTGGGTTTTAAGTAGAAAAACAAGTTATACTGTACTGTAATGAAAATTTTCAAATTCTCAAGAGTGCCTATTTAAACAAAATATACACTGTTCTTATGAAATACAATATAATACAGGTACAAATCTTTGAATGTGGATTTCAGGAAACTAAAGATTCTCAAAAATCAGACATTTTCTTTCCTGGGCCAGGTTAAGTTTTCTTCCTGAGGATCATCCACCTGTTACCCTTGGCTTACCAGAGGGCTGTGAAACAACCTTATAAAGGAATGCTAACATGGTTTTATGCTGGGATGCTCCTGCTTGACACATTTACTTAAGGTGTTAGATGCGCTGACATAAATTCTTGAGTGTGGTGCAAATACAGGTATCCCTCACTATATGAATGTTTGGGATACGAAAATCCACTCATATGAATTTCCTAAATTACCACCTCTTTTTCATGTTACGAAAGATTATATGTATTTGGGTCTCAGCAGAAATTCAATTGCACACCCTTCATATTTTTTTATTCAGTTACATGCACACACAAGCTTACATACATAAGGTGCGCAAAAAAAATATATCATAAGGTCAAAAACCTGAAAAAGAATAAAGATTTTCATGTGCCATCGAGAGTTAACTCTCTCATGGTCTTTCAATGCATATCGTGTTGCTCAGCGCTCCCGTGATGGCACAACCTCTCTCACTCAGCAGCATCTCACACTGAGAGCACCCCTTCAGTAAACAGAAATGCTGGAACAGTGGACCAGCCCTATCAAACACCTAAGTTCCTTCCACTAGCCTCCAAGGGGGTGACTTTTTGACCATGGGCAAGAATACCAGAGGGTTAACAGGATGAGCTGGAGGGAGTTACTGTTTGTTATGGTCATTTTTCAACTCGTAATAACAGGTAGATAAACTTACTATTACTTTTATCCTCTTCGCCACTGATTGGCTTGTTAGACGCTTGGGCGTTTGCTCACGTCTCGGATATGCACTGTTAGCAAGTACTGGGCATGTAATGCTCTTGAAAGAGCTCACACTCAGTGCTGTCACAACACTCTCTGGCAGATTGTTCCAAGAGTTCACAATTATCACTCTGAAAAAGTTTGTTCTCACAGTTTTCTGGACTTGTGGCTTCTTCAACCTTGAGGCATATCATGGGACATGCCCACAATCCTATAAACATACAGTAATGTGCAGAAAAACTAATAGAAATAACTATAATTAGGTGAAAAACATAAAGAGAATAAACATTTCTTTGTATGTTAGAACGGGAGAGGAGCGTTGCTAAGGGTCGGGATGGGGAGTGTCCCCAGCCGGGCTTGGTTGCTATGGCAAGGCTTGAGGGAGGCCAAGTGTGAAGCAGCCAGCATCTATGCAAATGGTGGCTGTGTTAAACTTTGATTCATTATTATGTCTTAATGCTTTTAACTGCATATTTTCATTAAGACAGTATTTTGTTAATTTTTTAAAGTTAGATAGTAAATTACAGTAGTTGTGTGCTATCTATTATCAGTTAGGTAAGTTTTTTGTTGTTCATGAACTGATTTCATGTTTTTGGGGTATGATGTTGGGGTTTTCTTGTCATTAGGGAACCAAACCCTATATTTTCCATATTTGCTCTACAAAAATTCAATAAACAAATGTTTTTTCCAGAACCTAACACAAGGCTTTTGATAGTGTACTTCATGAAAGGTCGAAAATTATATACCGAAGATCAAACTCAGTGCCTCCAGGAATACAAGGAAACTGCTACACATGAACCCAGTGGCGGTCGGCAAAGTTAAGAAAAAAACTCAGAAATTTGAGATGTGGGTTAGGACAAATGATGAGCAGGACAGGAGGATGTATGCCAGATCCAATAACCAAGCAAAGTCAGAGTGTAGAAGGGTTGAAAAAGAGTTCGAAAGGCAAATTGCGAGCGAGCTCAAGTCAAACCCAAAGGCGTTTTACCACGCAACAAAAACAAAGCGACTAGACGAGGTTTGCCATGGATCCTGTTTCTGCAGTTGAGGTCTTGCAAGATTGTGCTATAGTTCTTCAATTGCTGAAGCAAGTGAGGCGTCCGCAAACGCTAAAGAAAAGACAATGGGTGCGACATGAAGTTTCTTAAAAGTGATGGCGGCTGGCTGGTCAAAGACGACCCTGAATAGTGATTTAATAATACTGTATTAAAGAAGTTTTAAAGAGATGAATAAATAGAAGTATGCCACTGTTTATGTGTTATATTTTTACTCATGAAGCTCGTTTGAGCACTGATACGGCCAGCAAAGATCCCCACCAAACCGGGTAGTCCATTTCTAGCAAAAGCCAAAATCCTGCTGCTTGCTGGGCGTTTCAGCCAACGGCCAGCAAAACGGGCAACATGTTTGGATGAAATGCCCAGTGTGCTGCCACCTTAATAGGGTTATCAGTGTTAAAGAGGGTAAAGTAAAGAAAGGTAAAGAATGCGACTTGTAAGAAACCTCAAGGTCCTTTCGATAAAAAGATTTCAATTTCTGAAAATCAAATATCACATGAACATAGACTGTCAAGCTAACTGTACCTGTACTACAATATGATAGAGAGAGAGAGAGCATGACTCACCTTTGTGCATGCGTATAAAGTTGGCAGCCAATCTTAGGACGGAAGTTTTGTCAATACGCTTGTTGGCGCCTGAGCCGAGAGGGACAATGGTGGCCAGCTCATTCACATAGTGGTTCAGTTTGTCCCTGCGCATCTTCTCCGCCATATTACGCATCTCCCGTGATGAGCTGTAGTGGCATAGAGGAATATATAATAAGGAAGGTCATCTAAAAGAAAGAGTAACTGAGCATGTAAAAAATTTTATGTTTAGCTTACAGTACATTTTAATTTATTTCATGTTTTTGTTATATTATGTACATTTCGTGTAATGTATGTAAAGCACTGTACAGTATTGTACTGTTTCTTACTGGTATCAAAAACAGTGGCTGACCCAAGCTGGTCTAATTTAATGTATCCAAATGATTCACAGTTCATGAGAATGAGTAGAAACCTCTCGTATCCTTCTAGTTAACTTCAGTCAACCAATCATCATGTTCCCGGAGCTTAGAATCCAGGTAGCTTATAACCAATTAGAATTTTGTGTTGCCCTATATAAATATGTTCCACATTCACACCAGTAACCTAGAGAGTTCTATCCTTCATAATTTTCAAATGTTGATGGAATAATGTAATTGATGACCTTGTTATGCACATAAAGATCTTAGTTGTGAAAGTGCAGTACAGGAGGTACCCGACTTACGAACGCCTGGTGATATGTATGTGGTTAAACTTGAAATTTACAGTACGTATTTTATTTATCTGATGACATATTTTTTACTTTCATTAACTGTACGTATTTTGTCATTCTATTTCTTCTTTCGTCTTAAATTAAGTGATTTTAGATGTATATAAGGAATTAGACTACGATATAGCAGGATTTTAAACATTGTTTTGTAGGTAGGGTATGTATATAGCATCTATTCCGACTTGCGTACAAATCCAACTTACGAACGTCCTCAGGAACTGAACCCATTCGTAAAATGGGGACCCCTGTAATAACCTTATAACAACAGCAATGCACCGGAAGACAAAAACCAACAGAATTTTATCTGTAATTTTTTTTTAAATGTTAGAGTACATAGTGGGTAAATTTTCACTAATGCACCGGTCTTTGTTTGGATATTAAAAATATGTTTTTCAGATGTTATTTGAGGAGTTTCAAACGAATTTGATATTCATTTAAGCTGGAAATCAATAGTTTTTGAGACCCCCTCCCCCCACCCAACCCATCAACCTTAGCGAAAATTTATTTTATTTTTCGAGTAAATCACATAAATAAATAATAAAAAAACCTAAGCTAACACTATTTTTCTCATGAAACTCTGCAATTGAAGCAAAATAATCTCTTATCACAATGTCAGCACAGCTCTATCCACCTGTTCAGCCATATCTGGTTATTCTGGTACAGTGTACTAAAAAATCAAATCTCCGCTCCCGACGCACCCACGTATTGTTCATTGTCTAAGACAAAAAAACTCTTGCCCAATTATAATTCTCCCATCGCTATAGCCAATAAGAAACTCCCACACCATCCCCTGCACATGGGATGTGATTAAGAAGCCAACACAGAGGTAAGGATTTGATTTTTTTATTTTGCCGCTTACAGCAGCTACTTTATTGTGCACCCCACACTCATCCTGTGAGCGGTAGCGCAAAAGGATTACAGAGTAGAGTTTACAACGGGTCATAGGTAAGGAGCACTGGGTGAGAGGCGGTCAGACCTCTGTGAGACATAAACAACACATGGCGACACTTGTGAATGACCAAATATAATACTGTAATATTGAAAAATTAATATCTTGGTTATCCTTAATTTCCGGCGGGAATATCACAGAAGAGAATGGTCTTAAAATTGTCTAAACATTACGAAAAACATATTAATAAGAGCGAGAGAAAGACCGGTGCATGATTGAAATTTAACCGAATAGTGTAATTACTAGAATTGTTACACACGTAAAGACCTTCGTTGTGTGAGTGCCTGACTTATTATGGTACAAGAACGCATACACTACGCTGAATATCATAACTAGTAAAATGACCCATTTGATCGATAAATATATACCCAAGACCAAACCCAGTGCTTCTAGGAATACGAGGGGATCCCTACACATGAACCATGAGGTGGTCGACAAAATTAAGAAGAAAACCCAGAAATTCAAGACATGGGTTGGGTCAAACGATGAGCAAGACAGGAGGATGTATGCAAGAGTCAGAAACCAAGAAAAGATAGAGTGTAGGAGGGCTGAAAAGGAGTTCCAGAGGTTGGTTGCAAGCGAGGTCAAGTCAAACCCAAAGGCGTTTTACCGTTATGCAAAGTCGAAATTAAAAACGCGAGTAGGAGTATCAGACCTGAGGCTGGTGGATGGTAGTTACACAGATTCTGACCAGGATAAAACTGAGGCATTGAACAGTTTCTTTTCCTCGGTGTTCAGAAGAGTGGATGCAACTAAACTTCCTGCGTTTGAGGACAGACGATTCGACACAGCACTGACCCACATTGTGTTCACGGAAGAGGGTATTAGAAATAAACTGTCCAGGCTAAAGGTCCATAAGAGTCCCGGACCTGACATGGTGCATCCTAGAGTGCTAAGAGAGTTGTGCAATGAGCTTGCAGAGCCCCTGAAGATCCTGTTTTGTAAATGCCTGGATGAACAAATGGTCCCCAGTGAATGGAAAGTGGCTTATGTGAGTCCTATCTTCAAGAAAGGCGATCGTCACTCCACGAACAACTGTAGACCGGTGAGCCTGACCAGCATAATATGTAAAGTACTTGAGAGTAATATCAGAGATGCTGCAATGGAACATTTAATACGAAACAACCTTGAAAAAGATTGCAACACGATATTATGCCGGGGCGCTTCTGCTTAACAAAATTGCTCAAGGTATTGGATATTTGGACCCATATTCTGGAACAGGGTGGTAATATCGACAATATTTACCTAGATTTTGCCAAGGCTTTCGACAGTGTACCCCACGAAAGGCTGAAAATCAAACTGGAAGGGTACGGAATTTGGGGAAATGTCCTAGCATGGATAAAGACTTTCTACATGACTGCAAGCAGTGTGTGGTGATTAATGGCACGAAATAGTCATCTGTACCTGTCACAAGTGGGGTACCACAGGGCAGTGTATTGGGCCCGCTGTTGTTTGTTTGTTTCATAAATGACATGCCTGACGTTGTACACTCCTCTATCCAAATGTTTGCCTATGATGCCAAGTTATTTCGGAAAATTATGAACCAAGCGGACTGTGAAGAACTGCAGAAGGACCTCTGTGGGCTCCGGGAATGGTCGAAGAAATGGCTGCTGAGATTCAATGTCACGAAGTTTAAGAGGATGCACCTGGGGCGTACCAACGGTAAGGAAGCGTATCATATGTCCCAACGGGATGAAGACACTGCACTAGTTGAGACTGTGTGAGAAGGACCTAGGTGTGTATGTTGACAATGAGCTGAAGTTCTCGAGCCATTGCGAGAAGAAGGTAAATCAGGCAAATAAATTATTGGGTCTTATAAGAAGGTCGTTCAGATATCTAGACGGTCAGTCCCTCGTAACGATCTTCAGGAGTGAAGTGCTTCCCCATCTGGAGTACTGTCACCCCGTCTGGTCTCCGAGATATGCTAGGGACTGTCAGTTGGTTGAAAATGTTCAAAGGAGGGCCACCAGACTGGTGCCTGCACTTCGGCACCTCAGCTACCCTGAGAGATTGGAGCGCCTGAACTTACCTAGCTTATACTACAGACGGGCAAGGGGGGGACCTAGTTGAGGTGTATAAGCATCTCAGAGGGCACTACTCAGTTGAGTGTCCTTACTTGGAGCTGGCGGACGCTCGCCCCACAAGGGGTCACAGCTCAAGATTGAAGAAGCCGCAAGTCCAGAAAACTGTGAGGACAAACTTTTTCGGAGTGAGGGTTGTAAACTCTTGGAACAATCTACCAGAGAGTGTTGTGACGGCACCGAGTGTGAGCTCTTTCAAGGCCAGACTTGACCAACACTGGAGCAGGTTCAGGTACATTCAGGAGCTGGTGCATGCCCAGTATTTGCCAACAGTGCATGACAGAGACGTGACCGATCGCCCGGGTGGCTAGCGAGCCGACCTTTTGGTGAAGAGGATAAAAGTAAAGGATAAAAGTAAAAGTAAAAGTAACACACCAAGAAACTCACCTTACCACCTCCTGTGTTCACATATTGCAGTAATTTGATTTACTCTTCGCATTACATGACCTTATTTACTGTTCTCTTTTTTTTCTTTTCTTTTTTACAAGGATTATCCCACCCGGGCACAGGTCACTCTGACCCACACCGGGGCCGGGGGGGGCGGAAATGTAGTAACAACAATAATAATAATAATAATAATAATAATAATAATAATAATAATAATAATAATAATAATAATAATAATAATAATAATAATAATAATAATAATAATAATAATAATAATAATAATAATAACAATAATAATAATAATAATAATAATAATAATAATTCATAGTAAATAAAATTTGTAATAAATAATACAAAATTGAAAATAAAACAATAAAATAATAATAATAGCAACACTAATAATAATACTAATAATAATAATAATAATAATAAAGAACCATAAAGAAATAAAAACAATGAAAAAAATCAAGTGAGAAACAATATAAGTACGTATGTTGTGTTATAAATTATAGATAAACAATCGAGACCCTGCAATTGTGTGTAAATGAGGCAGAAAGTCAGATCATCAACCTGGGACTTGGTCACATATGGCAGCAGGGTCTACCATTAGACAACACATTATGTTACCAGTATTTCTCCAGGCGGTAGTACCTCCCTGTTTGGTAGCTGCCTACTACCTAGCCGTATTTGTTTTTTTCATATACTGTACTGTATCAAGTAATGTAATTTCAGCCATTATTCTAGCCCTGGTCTAACCTCTCACTTTCGTAAGTGACAAGTGGTTAATATTTTTCTTTGTGCTCTTGTGAATGTTCGTGAAGTGACTCCTGTGCTTTTCATATTTGTTGTTTGTATAACCTCTACTGTGAACTGGTTTACTTTCATATGTTATTATGCTTCATGTTAACTATTTGTGTAACCGCTCTTTCTGAATTTACCTTATGTTTGCTGTCTTAAACTCAAGTGTAAATAGTCACAGGTTAATCATAGTTACTGTTTTCACGTGTATGTAGTAGGCAGCT